TCAATGCATTCACTAATCTGTGATTTTGAGTTGAGATTAGGTTTTGACTTGTGACTTTCCATAGAGATTTTGTTGGGAAATGGAAAAAAATATTCCGGAAAGAAGCTTTGATGGACATTTTAGATTAGTAGTAAACCACCACGTGACCAAATAAAAAAGAAATAAAGTTATACCGACATAAATTCAAGATAGAAAGGAGAGAGAGAAATTAAAAAGGAAAAACACAAAATGGCCGTTAAAAAGGTTTTTGCGGTTACAGGAATATCAGGCAAACTTATTTTTGGGGCACAAGGAGCCAACACATCAATGCGTATTGCATAATTTATTGGGGTTTATTGCTTTATAGAATAAACCATGTGTTCAAGGAGTATGTAATTCAAAAAGAGTTGGAATAAATGCTCATTTCGAACAAATGAATTAATTACTTGGGAAATACACATAAATGCCACTCCTAACAAAAAATAAGAGCAAAAAAGGAAAATGCAAGGCTCAATCTAAGTATAATACGAGTTTAAATGTTATCTGTAGAAAGATGCAGTCACATTTCTACATTATAAGAACGTTTATTGCTTAGGTTTTAACAAATATAAGACATGACATGTTGACAATAAATGCATATGTACACGGTACTGTACAAGACTGGATAGTAAACAAAAATAAGTTAAGATGTACATGGTACTCCCAAGTCACATTTAGTAATACTTACCAAACATGCTGTAATACTATAACATGATCTCACATTTTGTTTGGCATGCTCAGGTGGGAACAGTACTACTCAGTTGTGCATTCTTTTACGACATTTTTTGGGTCTTTGTTTCCAAATGGTGGTTCAAAGTGAGCGTGATGATAGTGGTGAGCAATAGTCCGAACCTTGTACCCTGCTGAGTATATGAGCAATTGTAGGTTTTAATAGTTGAACGATGGAAAATAAAAATATTAATTTGATTTCTCGTGTAGGTAGCTCGTGGTGATAGAAGTGGCGAAGACGGCATTCCCATGCTACTCAAGATCCCTCGAATGTTTGATCCTTGGGGTGGATACAGCATCATTGGATTTGGTGATATCATCTTGCCGGGTCTACTAGTGGCCTTTTCCCTAAGGTTTGAGTGCCAGGTTTATGTAAAAACTAGCACATTTGGTGGCTTCTTCTTGCCCATAATTAATGAATACAAGAGTTGAACATATTAAAAAGAAATTGAAAGATTTCATTGAAATCGTCCATTTAGATTTCCCAAAAAGCTAATCATAGACTCTCACAGCTTCATAATATTTCTTAAAGCTTCTGCATGACTTCCTTAGGATTGAGCTGACATCCATTCCGGTTTTCATTCAATTAAAAAGCAATCTACTTAAAATCTTAGTGAAATACTGAATTTCTTATTGTTGTCCTGTATATTAGTTGAGATTGTGTGATTGGAACTTTGTTGTAATCTACTGTGCCTCTTTTTTCTGATTTAAACCCATTTTCTTTTTGGTAAGAAATGATTTACAAACCTTTGCATCTACAATTGGTTTTTAATCCAATCTATTGGCTTGATAGAGCTCTTATTCACTACTGTTTTTCTGAAGTCTATGCTCTTTGTTATTTTGTCGTCTTCAAAGAAGTTTTAGCGTATATTTTGCCAACATGTTTCCCATCATAAAAGGATTCAAATAGCGAACATCAAATTTGTCCAGAGCAAGGCTGCTTGTTCTTTTCCACGATGTTGCTTCTTAAATAAATTGACCATAGATATGATATAGTTTTGATCATTGAAAGGGAGCCAAGAATAACTATTTTTTCCTGTGTCTTGCAGATATGATTGGCTGTCTAAAAAAAGTCTACGAGATGGATACTTTCTTTGGGCAATGATTGCTTATGGCTCAGGTGTGATTAAATTATATAGGCTGTAGTGAATTAAATGCTGGCTTTTAATATAATTCTCTCTTGTTTCCCTTCTTTCCCACTTCAGACTTCAGAACGCACCATTTTTCTTCTTCGTAACCCAAAATGAAATTGCCGGTGAGGAGAGGGAAGATTCCATTTTTCTTAGATACTTCCGGGAACAGATTCAATGAAAATGGGGCGGGGCCTGATGCTTGAAGGATTAGAGTACGTGGCTACAAACCACAGTGTTGGGTTCCAAATCCCTCGTCATCCACAACCAGCCCAGACCCCCCGGGGGTTTGATTACCTTTTTATCATAATAGTTTGATGCTCTATGCTGGCATTTCTGTATGGAGGATTTGACCTTATTGGACAGATTAAAGAAGGGGGAAAAACCTAAGATTTTGTTCTGTAGTTCATAGAAAACATGCTTTGAAAGGGTTCTTGTTTGTATGGATACTTAATGCTCTAACTAATTATTGTCTCTTAAAAATTTTCTTCACAGGTCTTCTTGTTACATATGTGGCTTTGAACATGATGGACGGACATGGCCAACCAGCTTTGCTTTACATCGTACCTTTCACACTAGGTAGGTGACAAGGCACGTCTAAAAGAGATGCTAGAGAAGAGTGAGAAGCCCGTAGTTAGCGTATAGAATTGATTCTCCTGTACTAACCTTGCTTTTGTACCAGGCACATTAATAACATTGGGGAAGAAGAAAGGTGATTTGAAGCATTTATGGACCCGAGGAGAACCCGATAGGCCTTGCCCACATGTCCAACTTCAACCCACCGAAGAATGACTACTCTAATCACATTCCCGACTTATCTTTTAGAGTAAAATTCGGATACTATACCTGGGTAGATTAGAACAGAAGTAAAATCTCGAATGAATAGTGTTATAATATGATATAGCAAGTTTCTTCCTACTTGAAAAGAGATTTTAAGGTGTATTAGAGCAGATTATTTTGTGCATTTACCTCGTTGTAGCCAAACTGGTTTCCCCATTCATGTACTTGCCATTGGACTGACTACAATTTAATCTGGAAAAATATATATTGAAAATTACTGTATACGTAAAAAAGTCATTCTTTGTTGCCTTTTTTCATTAAATTTGCAATGCTTGTTCCTTCATTAGATATCTTACTTTTTCAGCTATAATCTTTGCCTTTACAATCCAACTCTTGAAATAGTTTTAACATTTTATTTCTGCTATTTTTCAGATCGAATCCATCAATAATTTTTTCACATTTTTAATTTAAAAAAGGTCCCACTTTTTTTACTCTTAATCCAGTGGAAAAAGCCATGAGTACGGGAAAATGTTGACAGAATTTATATCGACTTTGATGTTGCCAATAATTCCATGCCATGTGTTCACCAAAATTTTCTATCAAAATTCACTGTATTTATAGCATGATTTTAATCCAATAATTTGATTATACTTAATTCCTTCATCTTTGCCTTCCCAATCTGCACCTTGAAATAGTATTACCATTTTTATTTTGTTGCTGTTTTTACTATCAGTTTCGTTATGTAGACAATGTATGGGGACAAATCGATCAAGATTTTATGGTTACATCCAAGAACTGTAGCGATGTGTACTCTTGAGGTGCAATTTTCCTGTTCCCACACCGTCCACTTTTCATCGAATGCAAAATAATTAAAAATAATAAAAATTGAAGACAAGGATTGCCATAAAGGAGCAACGACGGTGACATAGGAGGAGGTGGTGGTAGAGGGGGGG